TATATATATATATATATGATATATATATATATATATATATATATATATATATATATATATATATAGTAATAACTTAGCAACTTTAGGTTAAGCAATTCTAGAATATGATAATGAGGGCATATATGGCACAACAGAAAACAAATTGGCAATGCAGCACAACTTTATTCTTATTATTAACGTTTATTTCAATGCACGACACAAACAATATTAAAATGCAAATTTATAAACAAAATAAGGACGTAAATCATGTCATGTGCTTGAACTGCCAGAATTAACTGTTGATTCCTTCTGGGTTAATGAGGCTGGAACATGTAAATTATATTGGGCCTAGTAGCGAATCCCAATTGTTCGTTATCTATTTATTGAGGAACTATATCATATTGGTGCTCCAAGTATATCACCGTAACTCAATCACTTAGCTATGAGTGTTAAGATAGAATGAGGTTCTGCCAAAAGAGCTCTTTAAATACGTCCGATTGGTGTGAGGGGTGTCGAGGAAAATCCCTCGTATATCTAGCCTTTGAGGGAGAAATTAGTTAATGATATTTGGATCCTCCCTTTCAAGGAAGACGCGTGAAACATCCACCATGGCTCTCAATAACGTCTTCCTCTCGTCAAGGATACATCAAACTACTGCCCGCATTAGGTTGCCAGAGAACCGGCTACTTAATGCCTTAGCTCAGCACTAAGTGACACGATTTCCATGGCACACTCTGAACACGCGTGTTTCTGAATTATGCTACCTCACAGCTAGTGGAAAGTTACAGAGGGTGATAGAGTATAAATCAAAGGTAATTAACCCCTTTATATATTACTGCTTAATAAGATAGGGCTACATCGCTCGGTCACACGTATCCAAAGTTCGCGGTGAAGGCACCCGAACTCGCAGAACAAGCCTGTGCACATGCATAGTGTGTAAATACTAAATTGGGGGAAGCTGGACACCTGCGTTGAACAGCTACTCAAGCCTCTAGTCTGCAATGCCTTATGGAGAGTATATTATGTACAATGGCAAATTTGGATGATTCTGAATTAAGATAAAAAATATTACTGCCAATATCAATACAGTGGAAATAGTTACTTGGGTAAGGAAATCCAGTAATAACATCGCAGAAATAATCTGCTGCTATTTCGTGGTTTATGAACGCACCTCCTTAGCAATGTACAACTTTTGCTTCTATAATCACGCTGATGAATAAGTGTGTAGTGCTTGAGACTCTTCGACGAAATATTCATTTTGCGGAGAGCAATGGCACTGAGCTGTGAAGGGTTCTACCACGCTATGGCTGAAAATTTACAGTCTGTGATAATATACTATAGAACTATCATACTTGTAGTTTGAAAGATGTGTCTATGACATTAAAATTAAAATAGAACTATCATATTTGTAGTTTCCAAAATTATGAACATTATTATCTTCCCGGAAGAAAATCAAATGTCCGCATCTTCTATGACTAAGGTTTGAAAAATTACTTAGATAAACCAAAAAAATAACTTGTCCATCTGTTTACATCGAAATTTATACAAATTATATTTAAAGTATCAATAGCTGAACATGTGAAAATAAATACTGAAATTACATTACGCCAGTATATATTAAAAAAAATATGGCACTTATAATAACTCATATAACCTACACGATGTCTATCTGTGTGAAGTCATGTCGTTGAATATATTAATGTGGGTATAGAAATAATATATACCTGGATAATTATTCCGTGTAGGCTTGATTTGAAGAATTCTCTAGAATTTCTTGAAAATGTGAAATTGTTGCGGAATCCAGTAGACTTGTGTGTGTCAATTACAGGAGACACTGCTGATGCTAAGGCTGGTGACTGGGTCAATGTCCATGAAAATCCTGGGAGTACAGCAAACTGCTGCTCCCCTGTCAGTGAACTTAAGGACTATGGGGTCTATTGTACACCTTAGTGCATCCACCACACCATACCAGAATGCTGAGACCATCTCTCTCGTTGTCGAAGATGTGTCATCACTAGTGCTGGTAACTGGGGACTCCACGCCATACGAAAGAATTTTGTTGACAGGATGTGGATTGATTAGTCACAACAACTGCAGTCACGTCCTGTCACACCCTGGGCGAACGAATCATTTGCAGAAACTAATGTTCACTTCAGCTCACAGGATTGTTTTGCTTATAATCTGCAATCTATCATCCTGTATTGGGTTATCGATAAAAAAAATTGTACATCATCTTGATGACCAATACAAATCACTCAACTATAACATCTCACTACGGATAAATTATAATAAACTTTAAGAATATAACATGTCAGTTTTTTTCTTGTTCTTAAAACACTTGTGACTTATGGAATGTGTATATCGAATGTTGTTATATGTTTCTGATTTTTGATCGTTGTAAATGATGTAACAGCAAATGTAACTTTAGTACAACGGTTTTGTAGATCCGGGGCTTCCACGTATATAAATAATTCTTTCTTTTGTATTAGTAAATGTAACAGTAGAACAATATCTTTGATTGTTATTTCATATTTACGTTCGTATATGGTTTCGTAGATCAGCTGCACGTATATAACAGTTCTTCTTTACTGCAGCCACAGCAATGTGGTGTTTATAATATCTCTACCTAAGCAACTGTGTGAAGGGTTTGTTCTTTGTCTTGATCTTGACTCCAACCTGGTAGCCATATTTTTTTTGTTTTATTTCTAGTATGTATTAATTGTGGATGGATAAAGGTTGTTCTAAGACCCTTCTTGGTTTGCCTATAGGTATCCCGGGACAGTGGTGTAACAGCATTATCACTGTTTTCCACTGCCGGATTGGGCCTGTTCCTCTATGAAACACATATCCCATCTTACTGTGAGGTGTGCTCCACTGAGGGGCCTAACACGAATACTTTAAATTTATGTTAGGTGTCAGCCAGGGTAAGTGGGAAGGATTTCATCAATATAAAAGACTCAAACCGCGCTGCTCATTCAATAGCTGCCCCCCCAGCATGGGGTGTCACCACTACCCGTGGGAGACTAGCTAGGATTGAAATCCTAGCTCGTGAGGTAGTCGGTGACAGTCGCTTTCCATCGGTTCAACAGGATTCTCAGTCCAGTGGTAGACAGAGAGGTCGAGTTGTCGTCCGGTCGTCAACAGTAGGAAAAGCTGGCTGCTTTGGGTTGGGTCAGGGTTTTATGAATTCAAATCTCTAATGAAACTTGTTTAAACTAGAGTCTTTATTACCATGAAGATTTTTACATTTCTAATGGTTTGTATATATATGATATATATATATATTATAGTGATGGATGTATATATAATATATTTATTGGATAGGTTATATATATATATATGGGGGGGGGGGGGGAGTATATATATATATATATGGGATATATATGAGGTATATAGGGTATATATATAGTGGTTTTACATAAGAAAATCGTCTCTCAAACATACTAAAACATTTGAAACAACCTTGAAAAAAATTAATAATTACACACACACACACACACACATACATAGGTCATCAATACAGTTACATAAATATATACATATACATATATATATATATATATATATATATATATATATATATATATATATATATATATATATAATATATATATATATATATATATATATATATATATAATATATATATATATATATATATATATAGTGACCAACACATACAGACCTATCTGGCAAGTATCTGAGGCAGGGGAGGACTCCCTCTCTCTAGATATTTGTTTTTATTATGTATTTTTTTTAAACTGTCCTAACGCCAACACCCTTCTACACTATTGCCTTGACTGTCCCACTTTCAGGGATCTCCTACCATAGGAAGTAACTAGCAACTGCGTTACCATATACATAATAATTTAAATCTAATTCGTGTACTCTACCCACACTTAAGTGGGTGCTAGATCGCACCGTCCTCAACTCACATCAATGTCTCCGGATCACAAGTCATAGCGTGTCCCGCGAGACACGAGTACGACTGTATTAGTGTCTTAACCACATGGTCTTGCGACTAGGCTTGTCCCCCTCTTGGGTGTAATAAATTAATTAATGTATAACAAGTTTTACTTGTCTATGTGCCGAATAAAAACCGACCTCGTCGGCATCCAACAAAAGATTTGAAACTAAAGAAAAACCTGTTACTCAAACTCGAGCCATCTATGAATTCGTATGTGCCGACGGAGTTTCGCGGCCACATGAGGCTGTAAATATTAAGGTTGCGGGGCCCCTGGTTCAGCAGAACAAAAAGTTTAAGTAATGTTTAAATTCAATTTATTATTATTCAACAAATATACAGTTTACAACGGCTACATTAATATATACAAGCAGTTACATATTTTATTAACGGCCAATTAACATGCAATTCTACATCGGATAATCAACATAGATTTAGTTCCAGAATATTAAACAATCAACAAATATCATTTGAACAGTTAAAAGTAAGGAGAAAGGAGATAAAGCTTAAACAAGTATATGTTGAAGCTTTAGGTGGTCGATTTACAAGGAAATGAAAATTATACCGAGAAGTTAATTCAATATTGTGTAATATACTTCTCTAAAACCATTAAGGGCATCCTACCATTGCACCAACACATGTTAACTTAGTGTATCAGTTAAAGCTAACCTAGCATTATGGTTGGAAATCCATCTAGTTCATTTAAGAGTAAGGCTATGAAGAAAAAACCTAACATTGTGTAAAACAAAAATAAGATACTGAATAATGTCATCCTCTTAGTAAACGTAGCAGTCCCATATAGGACAACACTTTCCCTCGGGTAAATGCACCTTGCAATTATCTCCTTGTGGAAGGCTGAATATGCATTGGAGAGCGCATTTGTCTATCGATCCGTCACAGACACGTGGAGGTGACGCAATGAGAACTCTGCCACACACTACCCTCGTCGTGATATCCTTCGTCGTCAGAACGTCTGGGGGAGAGAACATCGTTGTCATGGTTAAATCCGTGTTCGTTAATTTTTTTTAGCGATTAAGATTTATATCATTCTTACAAAAAGTTTTATTCAGTGCCCCCAGGTGCAGCGGCTAATCTCCTCAGGGTTTGAATTTTAGTTCTATCGGTTTTTATAACTCACCAGCAGCTCCATGATGTGCAACACTGTCCTGGTAGTTTAACCAACTGACAATTTTTGTACGGTGGTGGTGGTGAAAGAGTGCAGGTTTCCTCCTCCGTGCTTATCCCGTCCAACGTGCATGTGTGTGTGGTGCAAGGGTCAGTCTGCCACACGCTTCCCAACTCATGGCCGTTATTATGGTAGTCTATACAGTCTCTGAAATCATGGGATATGTTAGAAACATAATTTATTCGATTCATGATTATATATTTTGGTTGAGAATAGATGACGGGTTTCCAGCGAGCTTCAATATAGGTCGATCCAGTACTAACAATCTTTTCTTTCCAAATTAATTATATTAAAACATAGGCTTACACATTATTGATAAACAATAGTTAAAAATCCCTTTTAATAACACTAGAAACCGAAGGTTTTAAGATATTAGCCTTGTCATTCAGTAGCTATGATCTGAAAGACTAGATCGAAAACTATTGGCAGTTCAGCTTTATGGCAAATTTGAATGTTAAAAACGTTTGTCCAAACCATGACACGTGGGAAACTTTGGCCAATACTTAAGAACTTGAGGTAGAACCATTATAAAACCTTTGAGCGAAAAGTTGCTAAAAAATTGCATAATTTATACAATATTTTATTAGAGATCCCCAAATTCCCATACAATGAAAACTAGGTCAGTTAGGAACCTAAATTTTGCTTAAAGGTAGCCTAATATTACAGAAACGCCAGGCAATATCCACACAATTGATAACCTTAAATGAAGTGCTAAAGTAAACACTACCATTTTGCAGGCACATTTATTCTTTGAAGTATGCTCCGACAGAAACGCGTTTCTCAGCAGTGAACGCCATTGCTTGATAATGAAAACGGTTAAACGACACTGACGGCCCACGTGGTACCTTTTAAATCAGGAGAGTGTTACGTCTTTCTGTAACATAAGGCTACATTAATGCAAAACATTTTAAGTTCCCAACTGGTATAGTTGTGTATGGAAATTACTTGGAGTTTTCTAATCAAAAAGATCACCCTGTATCATGTGATAGAAGACGGACATCTGAATTTACCGTTTAACCTGATGCAATAACAGTTGTGGGAATCGATCCACAACACTATTACAAATGGAAAACTACAGTAATGAATTTTTTCAATACAAGTCAATAATTCTGTAACAAAATCTAACTTAAAAATCTAAAATTCCAACGATTTAATAGATGAAAGGACAGTGCGGGTTTCAAGATGATAGTTCAAGCACGTAACAGTAGCTAAAACTACTACTTATGTGTACAGGTGGGGGTCGATATGCTCCGAAATTCTACGGGTGAGTGACAGCCCTCCTATACCAAAATGTATCGTCCACAACGCACCTGCACTTCCATATTGGACAACACTCTCCATCGGGGGTATGTTTTACACATGTCCTGTGGGGAGGATCACCAAGTGTACATGTGACGGGAGTCGTCCTAATGCCACTCATGGTACAGATAAGTTGATTACAATGGTCTGTCTCCCACTGCTCGTACAATGGATGGTAGTTACCTGCACTATCAATACACCCACTGCAAAAAAAAAAGATATTCATTAAATCAAGGCACAGTAGCATTAACAGACCAGAAACTATTGTGCCAAGAACGGCCTGAAAAATAGTGAAGGAAGAAAGGAGAAAGCGTATGGAGATTTAAACTTGGGATGAAATTTATAAGAAAGTCAATTGGTGGTAGGTTCTGGTTGGTAGAACACAGAATGGCAGAGAAGTCTAAAATATAGCATAGAAAAGATGAAGACATGAAGGGGAACAGTTGTGGAGGGGACAGCAGTGTGACGTAATGTACTCTTACCACACAAGGTAAAAGCAGTGGGTGACGTAATTTACTCTCATCACACGTTGATAAATGCAAGAGCCAAAAATAAGCTGAAATGTACCATGTTTTAAACCAGTTTTGTGAAATGCAATTTTTTTATAGTTTCCTAAATTTATTTGGTTTAGTTACTAAAAACATCTTCGCATATATGTATATTATAGATGTATATTATATAAGTATATTATATATGCAGTATGTATATACAAATATGGTTTTGTATTTTTCATCATTTGGTACAGGAAATCTTGTGACAAGATTTACAGTGAAAATGTATTTTTAAACTTTATGTATAAATTGCAAGGGATACAAAACCATTTATCAAGAACATAACCAATACATTTACCACACTTCCAAATTTTAAATGGGCTCTTCGTCGCGGTCGAATAATAGTTTACCTGCAGTTCCATATTGGACAGCAGTCACCGGTTGGAGTATCCTGGAAGCAGATGGGTAAAGGCTGAGGGGTCTTCGCACAATATCTTATGGCTTCCTGTATACCATCAGTAGTACACACGTATTCCTCACACGGGTTACCAGTAGTCCAGCGACTGCCTGTTTCATGGTAGTGGCCATCCGAACCGTAACAGCTACTGGAACTTATTTAGCATTAGCTAGATGAAGCAGGTTACAGTATTTAAGCCATTACCATGAAAGTATCAAATTTAGGAAATATTACATCCAGCCCTAATACTCCTCTTCTAAGCCCATTATCTGAGGCCGGTGGATCAAGTTATCTGAAGAGCAAGTTCTAAAATGTGATAATTAAGAAAATATATGTTACCCTCTTATACTTTTTCCTTCTGTTATAATTAAGCAATATTTGCCAACAAATATTACCGACCCTTGTTTGATATACTGTAAATAACTGAACACTCATTTCATAAAAAAATTCATTACTAATCCTTTCACCTGCAGTTCCATATAGGACAGCATTCGCCTGCAGGAATATACTTGAAGCAGCTCTGGCCTGGTTTAGTCGTAGTCTTACAATATTTATTGGTACGTTTTACCCCTTCAGTAGTGCACACGAGTTCGGTACATGGGTCGTCCGTACTCCAGCGGCTGCCTAACTCATGGTACATGTTCCGAGAGTCCACACAACCACTGAAAGGAATCATTAATAACAGGTAGTATAAGCAGCTTACAGAATTATTATATACCATATTAACTTTTATATAACAAACTTTATTACATATTCAAGAAGCTTAAAGATCAAAATAGTTTTAAGAGTGGTATAGTTTCTGAAGTTCTTTTTCTAACGAAAAGTAATCTTACTAAAAATGATAATTTTCTATATACAAATTTGTATTGCCCTCTCCTAGTACCGTACACGCCGGTGTAGTAGTGATACATAACGGTACTGTATTTATTTAAGAGTTTCAAATGACAGTTACTATCCAGCGCTAAACAATGAATGATTTTTATAACTACCGAGTACTTTGTGGTGCTTTCACTTATGGTCTAACGACGTGTATATAAATCTATATTAAAAGATTATTAAGTAACAGCTTTTTAAAGACATGAAATCAAAGCATACTTGACACTACAGAGTTTTGTATACTCCAGATTACATACAAGAGTCAAGGATTTATGTACCAAGGCTAATAATCGTTAATCTTGTAATATAAGGTGCAGATCAGTCACCCTACAGTACCTGCAGTTCCACTCATCACAGCACGACAGAGGTGGCCTGTAAGACACACAGTGAGCAGCAGGGGGTGGACCACAAAACACGAGCCTGCAGTCTGGTCTGTTGGGAAGAACGAGAAGTTTCTTAGGTTATAATTTACGTTATATGATTGCACTTTAATACGAGAGAACATTACAGCTCAAGGGTTTACCGATTATAAACGCGCATCTTTAATAATGTAGATTATTACACTTTCTATTTGCATAAAATAATGTTTTAGCTCATAATTGGCATGCCATAAACACGCTACTTTAAGAATCCAAGTAAACCATGAAGCAGACTAAAAGTACAAATCGAATCCTTCCCAAACCAGAAATATTTCTTTCTTGCAGCACGTGGTTATTTCTCAACTGCAACCCAAATAGGTCACCCCCAATATATATAAATATCTTTCACATATGCCCTTCAGTATTTTTTTTTTACACTACACAACTCTACTCAGTTTACCATATAAATTTTCACTATACTGAAGATTTATGTAATCGGTAATCCATCTTCCTCGTTCACCTGTGTGGATCAATTTTTATTTGTTGGTATAAAGTGTACGCACTATGCTACCATAGGCCCTGAAAACATTTGTTGAAGCAAATTTTAATTGGGCCAAGATGACATTACTCATATCATTTAATAATTACGATACCATTCGTAAAACCACTAGTTTTCCTAAGCAATACTCACCCACAACTCCAATGGGGACAACATGATCCTTCTTGGGTAATGTTCACGCAGTTCGCATGAGGTGGGTCAGGGCACTCCATAGCCGTGGTGTATGTCCCATTAAGAGAACACACATGGGAGGTACACATGTCTGACTGCCAGCTGCTATAGAGCTCGTGGTACTCCCCCAGGTCGTCAACACACCCACTGTGAAAGTCATTCAGGTGCGTATTAGAACTCGCCTGCCTGCCTGCCTGCCCACCACTTTTACACCGCTCGCCTGCCTGCCTGCCACTCCCACTGAGCTCGCTCCTGCCTGCCTCCTGCCTCCTGCCTCCCACCGAGCCTCGCCTGCCTGCCTGCCCACCACCCCACCTGAGCCTGCCTGCCTGCCCACCACTCCCACCGAGCCTGCCTGCCTGCCTGCCTGCCCACCACCCCACCGAGCCGCCTGCCTGCCTGCCTGCCTGCCCACCACTCCCACCGAGCTCGCCTGCCTGCCTGCCCACCACTCCCACCGAGCTCGCCTGCCTGCCCACCACTCTCACCGAGCTCACGTATATTAATGCTCAAGATTAAAGAATATTGAAGTACAATAGAAATACCTATACAAGAAAATGAAGGATTTAATGATATTTAGAAAGAAAACAATACAAAAATTATAGCATATAAAAATTCATAGAGCTTATATTAGTACAAATGGGTTATAAACACCGCTATACACTTACCTACAGTTCCAAGTAGGGCAGCAAACACCCTCCGGCCTATATTCCTTGCAGCTGGAGTGAGGCGGAAGAGCCAGAATACAATACCTGTACTTCAGTTTTATTCCATCCTGTGTACAGGTGTAGGTAAGGCAGGGGTCCTCGATGTACCACTCCTTACCAAATTCATGGTGTTCGCCCGCCTCATCAACACACCCACTGGAAAGTTTTACGAGTGGCATACCATGTAGTATCGTAACGAGGAAGGAAGGGGGGGGGGTTGCACGAGGAAGATGGGGTGGCGTACCAGGAAGATGGGGGTGCTGCTTGCGTACCAGGAAGATGGGGTGCTCGGTACCAGGAAGATGGGGTGCGCGCATCAGGGAAGATGGGGGTGCCCGCGCACCAGGAAGATGGGGGTGCTCGCGTACCAGGAAGAGGAAGATGGGGGTGCTCGCGTACCGGGAAGATGGGGTGCTCGCGTACCAGGAAGATGGGGTGCCGCGTACCAGGAAGAGCACTGCGTACCAAGAAGATGGGGGTGCTCGCGTACCAGGAAGATGGGTGCTGCTACCGCGCTACAAGGAAGATGCTGGGGTGCTAACAGGAAGATGGGGGTGCGCGTACAAGGAAGATGGGGTGCTCGCGTGCACAAGGAAGGGGGTGCTCGCGTACAAGCACAAGGAAGTGCTCGATACAAGGAAGGGGTGCTCTGCACAAGGAAGGGGGTGCTCGCACATGAAGGGGTGCTCAAGGAAGGGGGGGCCTGCGTACAAGGAAGGGGGGGGGAAAGGGGGGGGGGGCGGGGAAGGGGAAGGGGGGCCTGCGTACAAGGAAGGGGGGGGCCTGCGCGCAGGAACCTGCACAGAAGGGGAAGGGGGGGCCTGCACATGAAGGGGGGGGCCTACAAGGAAGGGGGGGCTCGTGTGCACAAGGAAGGGGGGGGGGGGCCTGCACAAGGAAGGGGGGGGGGGCACAAGGAGGGGGGCCTGCACAAGGAAGGGGGGGCCGTGCACAAGGGGGGGGCCTGTGTACAAGGAAGGGGGCTCAAGGGGGGGGCTCTGCACAAGGAAGGGGGGGTCGCACTGAAGGGGCCTGCACAGGAAGGGGGGCCTGTGCACAAGGGGGGGCTCGTGTGTACAAGGAAGGGGGGCCTGCACAAGGAAGGGGGGGCTCTGTGGGGGCACAAGGAAGGGGGGCCCAAGGGGGGGGGGGGCTCGTGTGCACATGAAGGGGGGGCTGTACAAGGGGGGGGGGAACAAGGAAGGGGGGGGGCCTGTGCACAAGGAAGGGGGGCCTGTAAGGGGGGGCCGTGTACACAGGAAGGGGGGGTGCACAAGGGGGGGGGAAGGGGGGGCCTGTGCCTGCACAAGGAAGGCTCTGTACAAGGAAGGGGGGCCTGTGTACAAGGAAGGGGGGCCTGCACAAGGAAGGGGGGGCACAAGGGGGGGGCTCGTGCACAAGGAAGGGGGGGGCCTGCACAAGGAAGGGGGGGGCCTGTGCACATGAAGGGGGGGCCGTGTGTCGTGTACAAGGAAGGGGGGGGGCTCGTGGAAGGGGGGCTGTGCACAAGGAAGGGGGGCCTGTGTGCAAGGGGGGTGCACATGAAGGGGGGCCTGTGTACAAGGAAGGGGGGCAAGGAAGGGGGGGCCTGTGTAGGGGGCTCAAGGAAGGGGGGGGCCTGTGTACAAGAAGGGGGCTCTGCACAGGGGGGGGCAAGGAAGGGGGGCTCTGCACAAGGAAGGGGGGGCCTGTGTAAGGAAGGGGGGCTCTGCACAAGGAAGGGGGGGCCTGCACATGAAGGGGGGGCCTGTGCACAAGGAAGGGGGGCTCAAGGGGGGCCTGTGCACAAGGAAGGGGGGGGCCTGTGTTGAAGGGGGGCCTGTGGCCTGCACAAGGAAGGGGGGGCCTCATGAAGGGGGGTGTACAAGGAAGGGGCCACAAGGAAGGGGGCCGTGTACAATAAGGAAGGGGGGGCCTGCACATGAAGGGGGCCTGTGAAGGGGGGCCTGTGTGTACAATGAAGGGGCACATGAAGGGGCCTGTGCACATGAAGGGGGGCCAAGGGGGGGCCTGTGCACATGAAGGGGGTTCGTGTACAAGGAAGGGGGGGCACAAGGAAGGGGGGAAGGAAGGGGGGGCCTGTGCACAAGGAAGGGGGGCCTGCACAAGGAAGGGGGGTTCTGTACAAGGAAAGCACATGAAGGGGGGTTGCACGTCTGTACAAGGAAGGGGGGGAAGGGGGTCGTGTACAAGGAAGGGGGGGTTTAAGCCAAGGAAGGGGGGTCTGTGTACAAGAAGGGGGGGTCTGTGTACAAGGAAGGGGGTTCGGTTGGAAGGGGGGTTCTGTACAAGGAAGGGGGGGGTTCGTGTACAAGGAAGGGGGGCTCGTGTACAAGGATGAGGACTAAGCTTAAAACCATTAATGTGTCCTGTATTTTAAAACAAAACAGTTGTGCTGTAGATTAAACAAAATGTCAATCCCAAAAAAATAACAACCCCATACGTAAATAACCAGAAGAGTATATGGATAGCAGAGGAACTTTCAATATAATTTATGTACCTGCATTTCCAGAGTGGGCAACATTCTCCTTCTGGCTTGTAAGAACTGCAGCTGTGATGGGGTGGTGGTGGTCTTGAAGGACAATTTATACGAAGATCTGTAATACCAGCCTCGGTACAAACATTAGTGACGCACGGATCATTCGTCGTCCACTGACTGTGCAGCGGATGATTGATACCATTGTCGTCAACACATCTACTGTAACAATGTGACCAAGATCATGTTAAAATTGGGAGAAAAAAATTAACCTATTAATCTTATTTCATAAGTAGATAGGTGGAAGGAAATCGCCTAACTGTACAAGTTACCCGTTATAAAATATACCAAGTTGGTTGTGTACGGACCTACACCTCCACTGAGGACAACACACTCCCTCAGGGGTATATTCATAGCAACCAGGATGGGGTGCAGGTCCCAGGTTACAGTTCGCTGTTGTTGTGTGTATCTCTGACAAACAGAAGTGAGTGGTGCAGGGGCCACTCTTCCATATATCGTATAATTGATGGTACGTGCCATCATCATCAACACAACCACTGAAAATTGACAATTATGTTTTATTATGACATTTCTCTTTGCTTACATTTCCTTCACCGAAAGGAAAATAAACTGTTTTGTGTAGATACGGACAGAAACATCCATGTCTACCAACCTAATTAAAAAGAAAAGAAAAAAAAGATGAAGTTAATCGTATGGCCACATCAACCACCAGTCTTTTGCTTCGACAAATTTTGTTCTACCCCCACGTTTAACACTACCATCCACAGTTTAAGTTATTGAGCAAAGGAACTGCCTGCATAGTATTCAAAGGGTCATATTACGAAAGTTCTTACCTGCAGTTCCACGTGGGGCAACACTCTCCCTTCTTCAAATATTGTTGACAACTGGCATGAGGTGGATGGACAAGTGGACAGTCTACCAGTTTCACTTCTACACCAGTTTCGGTACACACAAAGGTGGTACAAGGGTCGTCCGTGCTCCACTCCTGGCCTTTATTGTAGTGGTTGCCAAACTTGTCAACACAATCTTCACTAAGATTAAAATGCCGAAATAAAAAAAAGTTGTTCATCAGCACCAAAGTAGTCTTAGAAAATGTATCAATCTTCTCTACTATAATTACCTAATCTCCTCGCCTTTCTACCTTCAGTAATAACCCATTAGCATCCCAACATTATCCCTTCATTCTTACTTTATAACCAAGTACATTAATGCTATTTTCATTATTCTACAAGCAAACGGAGTTGTCTTAAGAACCAAGGCCTTACCTGCAGTTCCACTTGGGGCAACATTCCAGATGTGCCGCTACAAGCACACAGTTTCCTCTTGGTGGCACTGCTAGACACGAGACAGCGATACAATCTGGCCTGCAGAATAAATGTTTATTATTAAGCGAATTTCAAAAGTAAAACATCAATCAAGAGCCGAATTAATTTATAGAAGTTAAAACTACAATTTGCAGTAGTGGAGTAACTGTTTATTCGTAGAGGAATTTATGGCAATTTAGTGGAACTTTGAATAAGGTAATAACCCTATTTGAACATTAATATGGAATTGCAAGCCTGAACAGCAGCGCCAAAATAACTTCAACTCAAATATACCAAATTAACCATACTGTACAAACGTAAATACTTTCCTATAAATAGTACAAATCCAATAGCTTGCCCGCGACTTCATTTAGTGACTAACCAAGTGTTGCCGGTCAGCCAGGGAAGTCAATTTAGTTCTTTTCCAACATATGTTGCTACGTCATCGAATTTTATTATATAAATTCAGGAATAAGGTAGATACCTTACCGGATTATTATTTTTAGAAGGATTGATGGAGTCGCCGAAGATGCCAACGAGAACTGGGAATCGTCCCAATGCAAAATTTCATGCTGAATGACCAGTTTAAACTTCCTGAAGTAAAGTTTGACAATGTTCAACTCGTCGGGAAACCCAACTCCTCCCGCCCACGCGACATCAAAAAATTCTCATCCCCCTCTGCCCGTGACAAAGTGGTTTATCAACGCAGTAAACTGAAAGGCACCCACTATCTTCGTCAACGAGGAAACTCTGCCCAGGTACGACTAAAGCCCGACTACAGCAAATGGACCAGTTTAAAGAAGCCAGGAAACAAATGTTATACGTGACGTTCAGTCATAAAACCCTTGTTGTGAGGGATCGGGCAAGTGGACCCCCACTGAGGGGGAACCAGCCACTGTCGCTATCACCTGAGAAGTCCCCCCTACCGGCCAACTCGAGTACTACACGTCTACCCTGAGGTGGAAACGAGCAACCCTAAAATCCGAGTGACAGGCGCACCACCCACTATCTGGGAAGCACCCTCAACTTTACCTGTCGTCCTAATGCTGTCGATTGTAGCGCTTGTGAGTACGTTACCTCCCCCACTAATATAATTTTCATAGATCTATCTTTTTCACACCTCAGTGAACCTGAGTTTTTACTGTTTCTTTAATCAGTATCAATGTTTCCACAATGATGATGCTAGTGTCAATCCCTTATATGTGTTAGATCGTATGTGATAGACACCCTTTACCCATGATGTCAACACAACACTCCCCCATATCGATCCTGATGCCTTTCTACTAAACTCACTGGGTTACACCAACCCCCAACTGTAACAATTACTTTTCCGACTCTCCCGAGTTTATTTCTAATCTTCTACTACCTCATTCCATTTCCTTGATTAGCCATAACGTCAGCAGTATTCCCTTTCATCTAGACCTCTTTTTAGATCAGTGTTTATCTTCTATTGCCCACAAATTTGATGTACTTGGGTTCTGTGAGACCAAACTCACTAACGATATTGAACAATGGTACAACATTCCTAATTATAATACACACTGCGTCAACACATCACGACACAGTGGTGGTGTCGTCCTGTATGTTGATAACAAGTAGAACACTTCTTTAAGAGATGATTTAAAGGTTCAGGAGGGGTACGTGGAGTGTTTCCACTGAATTACGTAACGACACACGAAATACCCTAGTAGGAGTAATCTACAGAAGAACCCACACTAATGCAAGGAATTTTCTTGATAAATTTTCGGAGCTTATCTCGATCATTAGTTCAGAAAGGAAACATTGCTACATTACGGGAGATTTCAACCTTCATCTATTAAGATGAGAAACCGACACCTCAGTATTAGACCTTCTTGCTACCTATCATTCAATACTCTTCTTCAACACAATAACCAAACCCACTAGAGTAACTGCTGCACACTGTGATAGATCATATCTGGACTAACAACACGCTTAATTTTGCAAATGGAATTATTTGTATTATCATCTCACATCACTTACCAGGTTTTGCCATGTATAAAACAGCCATAAGACCTGAAAGATCTAGTAGAGTCAATACAATACAGACACTACTGCACCGACAACATGCTCCTTTTTGAAAACAACCTAATGAATGCTAACTGGGATCTTGTCTAGGCCCCTGACAACCCTAACGTGAACAGCTGCAACTTCTCTTGCATCTTCAATGCTTGCTTTGATAAATGCTTCCTGCTGAAGCCTAAGTCAGTGAAATCTGTATCCATTTCCAAACCCTATATCACAAGCGAAATTAAGATAAAAGAAAATCCCAAACTCCAAAGGAAATTTGCAAAAAGACCTATAACTTTCGGTGATGCTTACCGTAATATCAGAAATAGAGTAACTCAAGCAGATAGAAATGCTAGACGTAGCTGGTTCCATTCTTGGCCCAGTCCTGTTTTTGTTGTACATAAACGACATAATCGACGCCAGCACACTTATAAAATACAACATATTTGCAGACGATAGTAATCTCTATGCCAGCAACTTAGACCTCCATTCCTTGATGAGAAATATGAACACTTGAATTGACTAAAGTCCGGACCTGGGTAATTCGTAATAAACTGACCTTAAACCTTGAGAAAACCCACTACACGATCTTTCACAGAAGGAAAAACTTTCCCCCAGACTTGGACCCCTTGTACCTTGGTAATACAGTCCTTAAACGCGAACAAAATACTAAAAGCCTCGTAGTTATTGTCGATGAGAAACTTAACTGGAGAAAGCACATACAAGCCATTCACAGGAAAGTCAATAAACAGTGCGGTATCACACTCGACAGTCACTCGCTCTCACAGCAATGAAAGAAATCTATCATGATCTTGTTTACCAACACCTAATTCACTGCCACACACTATGGGGGGGTGGGGGGGCTTCTAGCTCTTCAAAAAAAAAAAAATCCCTGGTTACTGCACAAAAGAGAGTTGCATGGACAATGACCTACTTGAAAATACCTTTTCACACAAACGAAAAATTTGCTAAACTGAAAATGTCAAAATTCGAAGACATTAATACCTTCTGCTGTGCCCTCTTTGTTTACAAATCTATCAATCACTTGCTTGACAAGAATTATTTCCAGTTCCGGAATAAGGTACCCAAAGCTACTAAGACCACCTCCCATGCGCTCCTCTCAGTCCCAAACCTCCATAAAATGTCATGGTGTGGTGTGGAACAACTTACCCCAAGCCATCCGAGCAAAGACTACACTCCCTTCTCTTAAATCATCTCTAAAAAATATCCATTGTTTAAGTATTAATATTTCTTGTAATACCTACTATATTTACAGTACCTGATTTTAGTTTACCATCAAAACCGTTTTATCGGAAATTATGTAAATTGGTAAGAAATTAGCATTGCAATAAACATTTACCAACTAGACATAATCCTGATAGCTCTGTCCTCTTGCTCAACCTTAATACTGTACAAGCCCATGTTGTACTGCTCCCCCATTATACTCATGTTTTTCAATTCCACTGTAATTTATGTATATACTTGTAATAAGAAAAATTAAACTAAATAAATAAAAAAATAAATATTGAAGTGATAACCGTGGTAACATTATGAGAGGTTCTTATTACCACCATGCTATTGTACTATTCCAGAGGTTTCTAAATGTTACATAATACTGTTTTCCTCGAGATAAATGTATAGTATATATCCGGTGCCTAAAAAAAAAAAAAAAAAAGCCCAGGTTTTCAACTGGCTCAGCCATGTTAATATTTTTATTATTATCCACTCTAGCTGTGTTTTTCTGGCCAAATAAACGTTTCAATTAAAGCGTTGAATCCTTGTTTTGTCAATTTACCCACTTTAATTTCATTCCTCTATAAAAACGTCATATTCAGCGCAGACTACTA